GATCGATTGCGAAAGATGTCGATTTCTTCAATTTTCGAAGAAGAAATACTCGAAAACTGCAGGTTTTGGGAAGTGCAAACAAGCGGATTTGAACTTTGTATAATTTATCCTAATTATTTATCTTGTTTCAAAGTAGTGGCCGAACCCGGGCAACGGAACTGAACGATATCGTGCCACAGAATACGGCCTACAAGAAGTATAATGCGAGTGGCTATCTATAGAAGTATAAAACCACGAACAGGAAATCGTGGAACGGGACGACGATCGGATTGGGGAACGACAAAACCAGGAACGGACAAGCCGGAATCTGTAAAACCCGTAACCAGCTAGGGCGTTTTGCTTCCGCGCGCGGTTGGATGGTATTTTTTTGCAACCTGATTGGTCAATGTGACAATAATATATATTTGCTCTTGAAACCTTAATAGCTAAAAATCAAGTTAGGAATGTTTTTATTTAATTGCAGTAACAACAGTGCTACAAACGCAATTATTTTTCTTTTCAGGAGCTAGCCAGTGCGTGCGAACTAACAGTGATCCATCACGTCATTGTGCAGTTAAATGTGCTGTACAAACTGATTGTGGCAACTCGAGGGAGAAATGTCTTTGTGATGGTGACTGTGGATACAGCTGTGTGAATCCTAGTAAGTATGCAGGATGCGGGAGAGAATTAGGGCAAGTCTAGACAGTTTTCTCACTTATCAATTTCTCGTTTCTCCCTATCATATTTCTTTCTATAAAAATTCCTAAAAAGCCTTCTGACGGGGTGAGGGGGAGATGCCGATGTATTATTAATTATCTGTTAAATACACAGTTTACCTACGGTATATTCTACAAGCCTGTAGAAATATCGCGACTTTCACTTGCAGCCTATACCTGCAACTCTGCAAGTTTCCCATATATGGCGGGGAGACTCTCGCATTTTGGAGGCTGCTCCATTTACTGTTCGGAGTACTCCGGATTTTCGGTACACTAATTAAATCGAACCAACAATGATCACATGACTGTTCTGATGGTCACATGTCTGTTCTGACTGCCCCTACTTTAGAGTAGGGGCAGTCAGAATAGTCATGTGACCGTTTTCGGTTCGATTTAATTAGTGTTCCGAAAATCCGGAGTACTCCGAACAGTAAATGGAGCAGCCTCTTGGAGACATTACAGTGAGTCTGCAGTATAAGTGGGGCCACTTAGAGAACACTAACCAATCGCATTGCAGAACAAAAAGAAAAATCTAATCAAACTAAAGCTCGTCCAATCAAAAGAAAGATTCAGGAAGCCATTAACTGCAGTGTTTACTTTTACAAGTCTATTTTTACCGTTTGATATTCGTTCATTTGTTCAAATTGTTCTTGGCCTAATGCTGATTGGCTAATGCGCCGTTTGTTGATTTTGTCAATTTTTGTTCTGCAATGTGATTGGTTAGTGTTCTCTAAGTTGCTCCACTTACTGTAGACGCAGTGTAATCGTCTCCCTCCCTCGCACATGACGATTATCTGAACAAATTAATCTCCCGTATTCTTGTATCTTGGGATAATTTCTAATGTCTGTTTAATTCATTTTTGTTGCTCTACTTTAAATGGACAGCTGGCACCGAAATTCCTAATACGACACTAACATACTTAGTTAGATTCTCGTTGCGTCACAAATCTGATGGCAGCGGTGAAACTTTTTATTATATACTGAAGATATCTTCGAATATTTTCCTGGAGGGAGGGGGTGGGGAGGGTGTGTCACAGATGCATCTAATCAGAGCTAACTAACTATACCAAATAATATTTTAGTGCTAATGAAGAACAATACATTTGGTTAAAATATGGGTTCATTTATAGTACAGGTTTGCACAGGGTTTTGTAAGTGGAAATTATGGAGAGTGGAAATTCTGTACACATTAACTATACATGTAGGTTCCTCGAAGGAATTGAATCTGCTGCCCTGCGATTTCGGAGGAGCGTTCTAACCAACTGAGATACAGAGTTCCGTTTCCAAGCTCTAACCACAAGTTCATGTATATATACTAGTTATTTACGCAATATTTCGTGCGCATACACACTAACCGAAACTTCACCCAAATAGCATCATCCGCGGAAGCATTTCGAAAGTGGCACTTTTCGTATATGACCAAAATCAAACGATTTCATGTCGTTCACGAGCCGAACGAAATTTTTTGAAAATATGGAGTCTTTATAACGTCGGAAATGGCCTTAACAGTGTCTTTCAGTATTACTGCAAAAAGGTCACTTTCCTTCCAGCAAAAGATGGCGTTCATTCAAGAAATACCTTTTCCGTTCTTTAACTCATTGTCATCCGGTCATATTACATATTCCAACTTTGGAGAGGAGAAAATTTAAAATAAGTCGGCAAGTATTAACCCCCCCCCCTTTAAAACGAAAACCACCGTTGAAATCCTCATAAAATAACCTTTCGAACGGGGGGTCAAATGCCGTCATAACATCACACACAAACCAAAACAGTCGTATATTTACTCACCTCTTGGCGAAACATTTTGTATTTCATATCGAGAAAAACTTGAATATTTTCTAAACTCTTCAGCATTCGCCCAAGTCAATAGCAGTGAAATACTCCTTGTATTCAAGCTCTTTTCTGTAGAAAGTTTCGTTTGAATATGACAAGTAGAAATATTTATTTTGAATTTTTCAAAATATCGGGTTTTTACTTGCACGCGCGTGCCACATTGCACGCGCGTGCCACAATCGTTTTTTAAAAAGCGTTCAAATTAAGACATTGCCCACCCCAACCCTAACCCCCCTAACCCCAAACCGCTAACCTTAACCCTATTCTAATCTCATTCCAACCCTAATCCAATCCAGATCCGGCGACCTTTTTTTTTTCGCTACGGTTTGTGACGAATAAATTAATTAAAGGTATTCTTGCATATTAAATTTGGAACCGGTCACTAATGGGTCTTGGCTATAGTCTACATGCAGTTGTGTTATTTCATTTTAGGAATGCGTTGTTCAAAGCCCAGAAAAGTAAGGAATGGACAGATTATTTTCAAATCATATCGCTTCAATGGTACCCAAAGGGCTTCATGTAATTCTGGCTTCAGATTGACAGGATCTGCTGTAAGAACATGTCGTGGAAAAGGTTATTGGGACGGACAACAAGCCAGATGTAGTAAGTTTTTAATTGTTCACTGCCAGCTAAAATGATTTATTTATACAGTATACAACTCAGAATATTTCCCTCTCACCAGAGAAATATCAAGGGAAAGGTTTTTTGCGTTTAAAATTTAAATTTTAAACAATTTTCTTCTGTATACAGCACACTACCTCCTTCCTTCCTTCCTTCCTTCCTTCCTTCCTTCCTTCCTTCCTTCCTTCCTTCCTTCCTTCCTTCCTTCCTTCCTTCCTTCCTTCGTTCCTTCCTCCTTTCTTCGTTCGTTCGTTCGTTCGTTCGTTCATTCATTCGTTCGTTCGTTCGTTCGTTCGTTCGTTCGTTCGTTCGTTCCTTCGTTCGTTCCTTCGTTCGTTCGTTCCTTCCTTGCATTGCTTGCATTGCTTGCATTGCCTGCATTGCTTGCATTGCTTGCATTGCTTGCATTGCTTGCATTGCTTGCATTGCTTGCATTGCCTGCCTGCCTGCTTGCTTGCATTGCTTGCATTGCTTGCATTGCCCTCCTTGCGTGCGTGCGTGCGTGCGTGCGTGCGTGCGTGCCCGCTTGCGTGCGTGCGTTCCCGCTTGCGTGCGTGCGTGCGTGCGTGCTTGCTCGCTTGCTTGCTTGCTTGTTTGCTTGCTTGCTTACTTACTTATATATATTTTTTGTTTGTTTTATTGTTCTTCTAGATTATTACAAAATTAAATAGTTTTGTCTGACGTTTCGGTTTCCTATACGAAAACCATTTTCGAAGACTTGAACGTTTGTTTATTTTATCCATTGATGTTTATCTTGCGTCAGCTGCACGGTTGCGTGATTGTCTTCGCGTGCGTTCACATTCTGCGCGCGCTCGTTCATTTGCAATTAAACTATAATACGCGGCAAACATTAATGCTGTCCTTCTCGCTCTTCGTATGCCAGCTTTCCAAAAACATTCTCTGACCATAATGTGATGCGTACTCCAAGCAGGTGGCTCCTTCCCAATCCATTTCGTGTCTTGTTGCCATATGATGAACTCCAATACTGTTACTAGCGTCTTTATTTGCTATGCAGCGCTTATGTTCTTTAATTCGGCATTCCAAAGTTCTTCCAGTTTCCCCAAAATAGCTAGCAGGGCACTCAGCCAAAACGTCAAAACGTTTAAACTCACGTCAGACAAAATTATTTAATTTTGTAATAATCTAGAAGAACAATAAAACAAACAAAAAATGAATGAACCTGGACTCGAACCTTTTAACGAATTACTTATATATACGTATTTACTTACTTACTTACTTATATTTACTTACTCACTTTCCAAAGCAACTCTCCAATGTGACTGGAGATTATATTTCACAGGGTCCATATTTCAAAATCTTCATGTGCAGGCGCCCTCTGATCCCCTTAGGTGGGTGATATCTTCGACACCACATAGCCACCCACTTCTCTCAAAAAGCCTCCTAACTTAAACCTATACAGTGCAGGAGCCGAAAGCTGCAAAGATTTATACTATTTTAGTGCGAAAAATTTAACTGTTTATTGGCCCATGCTTTTCAGGAAGAGCACAAAAGAACTGCCAAGATCCAGGAATGAAGGGCTTGTTGCTACGTACAACCGAAGAAAGGACGTCATTTAAACCAGGAACAAGTTTGAGCTACTATTGTCCACACAAGTTCATTCTGCGAGGATCAAAAGAGTTGGTTTGTAATGGGGATGGGACTTGGTCAGCTTCTTTACCAAAATGTATTGGTAAGACAGCAGGGTATTGTTTTATGTTTTTAGTAAAGATTAAGAAATTTGTTTGGAACTGATTTTGAAAGCGATTTAAAATTATTATCAGAATTTACAACTAAAAGAACTTACAATGACTTTGGACTTTGGTGCAAAGTTTTACGATCCTGGTAGACGTCCTAAGATCATGCAAGATGGACGTACTGTATAGGAATTCTCTACTAAGTCCTTTAATTTAAATTACTAGAAAATACATGCATGCAGAAACCCCTCGCCCTGCTGACAAAACCAATTGTATTTTCCGAACATGAAGTATTTAAAGTAGCTGTCATGGTAACACGATAATTTTGTTAAGAATATTTTTACAAATGAAAAATCTCCTAAAAATATCACTTTTAATTACAAAATTTTCAATTCCCCAAACATATATATGTAAAGCCCGGCGCACACTGGAGATATCAGCTGAGCTGAGCGTCACTCGTGACTGTTGGCGTAAGCAAGTTCCACCAGTGTGAGGTGGCGTTTTGAGTGATTTCAGCCACGCGTGCCATCGGCACCGAATCTTCAAGATGTTGAATAATTTCAGTCACGAATGAACATTTCTTCCAATTGTGCGCGCTCAAAAACCTATCAAGTTTCATTGTAGATCGAATAGACATGCGTAATAAAACATAAGACAAAAGGGAAATAATTAATGAGGAATGTGATACTTGAGTAGCGTCATATGAATATTCCTCATTAATTATTTTCCTTTTGTATTATGTTTTATTACGCATGCCTATTCGATCTACAATGAAAAGTGATAGCTTTTCGAGCGCGCACACTTGGGGGAAATGTTCATTCGTGACTGAAATTATTCAACATGTTGAATTTTCGGTGCCGATGGCACGCGTGGCTGAAATCGCTCAAAACGCCACCGCACACTGGGGGAACTTGCTTACGCCAACAGTCACGAGTGACGCTCAGCTCAGCTGATATCTCCAGTGTGCGCCGGGCTTTAAGTATGTTATTATACGTAATATAAGTTTCAATTTAAGGTAAAATTCAACCTCAAACGCTTCGCAAGACGTTTTAAAATGTTCTTTAATCTTTGTAAAACTAAACTGCCTTTAAAGGCTTATCGAAAAACTTTGAGTTGGAAATAAAATGATTTCCAATTCTCGCATTCAAACAACTTTGCTTTCTTTTTTTATATAATAAAAAAGGTTAATCAATAAAGAAACACTGGAATTATATGCTGTCTTTTTTCATTAATAATATACGCAACGATCAGCTTCAAAGCCGTTATAAAGCGAACAATACATCAATATTTAAAACAAACCTACC